CCTGGCAGGTTTTCATTTATTTGAATATGTAGCGTCTTTCCATGTTCATTACCTAATAAAGTAAACCCCAACAAGATAAGTAACTAACACTCGGTCGAGAATCGATGCTCCAAAGCGCCACAATTCGAATGGTCCCAAAATCCCAGATCCGCTAATAACTTCTGCTTAAATGCATCGGATTCGTCGTAATCAAACACGCATACTCTTAGTTCTTCCTCTTACAACGCGATTTCGTGACCTGGTTTCAGATCCCACTCCTTGTGTCTTCCAGTACCCTTCTTCTTATTCTCAGCCACCAACTCAATTGTATTCTTGACTTCGGCACGTGATGCGTTGTCCCGGAACTGATTAAAGACGAAGTCGACGATTCCAACCTTGGACAAACCCTTGTTGTCGAGGATCGCCTTCTTCACGTCGTTTAGGATCTCCTTTTTAACGAGCTTCGTCGCTACAGGAGCTGCTGGCGTTCCGGAAAGGGCTGCAAAAGCTGAGGTGGGCGCTGGTGGGGGAGGCATCACGACTCCCATGTCTGTTGCCTGTACTTTCTTAGGCGCGGGCTCCCAGTACGCGTCGGACCAAGGATTGATGCTTGAGCTTGCATCGTTATGATCTAATTCTTGTTAACCATGCCAATTCCCAAACCCCTGTGTGAATGATTTGCACGTACCAATAATGAACTCCATCCTGTGCTCATAGACAGCTGGATTTGGTCCGTTTTTGTTGTGATCTTCGAAACATATTCCCGAGCATTCAGGTTCCAGGGTATTAACCAACAACCGTCTCGCCGGGCCGACATCCTCTGAATCGTCCAAGAAACCATCCATGTCGTCCTCGTCCTCGACATCCTCGTCATCATCTTCCATATCGACATCTTCTCCGTCCTCGTCCTCTTGCCACTCGGCTTCCGAATCGTAGTCATATTCGAGCGGTAACCGTCTGGCATTTGTATTCCGAGCTGCCTTTCGCATTTGTTCTAACCCAACAGCGTGTTGCTTTGCGGTCGTTGTGCCGCAGTATGCTGGCCGGACGTCTTGTGAGAAGGAAATAACCTTTGTGACCATTCTTGACAGCTGCTGGCGGGCCAGCGCGATGGTCGATTGACTGGTGGAGGCATTGTTCGCTTCTGTTTCTCGATAAATTGACTCCATCACTGTTCTTACTGGTGGGTGAACCCTTCCTCTCTTTGGTGGCTTTCTAGGCAAGGCAAAGACTTCAACAGGGTCAAAGGGAAGACTTGAACTGTCAAGAGTGCGATCTCCACTGATAAACTCGTCGAGTATGCGTGACTTGGTCTCTCGCGTATCCTCGTCCATGCACCAGCTCGGGTTCGCCAGTCTTGTGTGCTCCTTTACAAAAAAGGGTTTGAACCGCTTCCGATATTCAGCATCCGCAGGTTTTGTCGTATCAGCCTCCGGGTCGGACTTCTTGGGTGACACGGTTCGTGACGGGGCAGATTCAGTGTTGCTGGGCTTGGAAGGTGTGCGCGGAGCGCCAAAGAAGCTATTAAGCTTCGGCTGTTTCCTAGCTTCCTTTTCCTTTGCTTCTTGAGCTTGTCGCTTCTTCTCTTCCTTGACTCGTTCTTCTTCAGCCTTCTTTTTCTGCTTTTCTTCGCGATCCTTTGCTCGAGCAGCGTCCTCTTCAGCCTTCTTCTTCAGCTTTTCTTCGCGCTCCTTTGCTTTAGCAGCCTTCTCCTCTTCGGCTTTGGCGACCTTTGCAGCTTTCTCGGCAGCCTTGGCAGCAGCTTTCTCTTCTTTTTCCTTTTTCTTCTCGGCGGCTTCTTTATCCCTTTCAGCAGCTGTGAGGCGCTTCTTTTTTTGTGGTTGTGTTGTAGTCGTTGAGGTAGAGACTGTGTGTTGTGGGGTTGTTGATGCAGTTACGGTGTTGTTGGCTATCGAGTTGAGTGCACCGTCGCTTTTAATTGTGGTTTCGGCTTTTGGGGTAATTGGGGAGCCTGGAATATGCGCTGGTGTGATGCTCCCAGGTTCTGTAAGGCTGGGCGAGCCCTGAGGCGTGGATTGGCTGAGAGATTGATGCAGCGCGGGGAGTACTAAGTTCAGGCTGTTAACACGCATCGCGCCGATGATTCCAACATAAAAACACACCTGAGGGCTTTTTGGGAGATAGGACAAGGTCCTTGGTAGCCTCCTCGGTCTTGGTCGCTACCGCATCACCCTCAAATTCATCGTGACTCCTTTTTCGGGCCCGGGCCTCTGATTCCTGGATATTCGGAGACATCTCGAGTAATGGCATTGAACGGGACCCCAATGAGCTTCCAGGGCTCAGTTCTGTGTTTTTTTCCAGTACCAGAGAGGCGTTGTGAAGTGTGACCTGCGGGCGGTGGAAATCGGGATGGGTTAGGGAAGGTGCAAACTGGATGACGACAAGCTCCAACGGCACCGCAACGATTGAGAGCTTTGTAAAACGAAGAATTAAAGAATAACGACCGCTTATGTTAGTATATCAATCAACAGACAATTCCGAACCCATCAATTCTCCATACACGTGTTGCTCGCTGGGATTTCAACGCCGACACGGGGGTAGCGCTGTCTTTAAACGGTTTATAGAAATGGTCGTAGAATGACGCTAAGGCAGTCGCCATCGAAACCACTTGACGCGCTTTCGCGTAAATTTGGCGCCCCACGACGCGCTACCCTGAATCTGCACCGCCACACCGCCAAATCCTCGGAATTACGTACATGGTCCTGCTGACTCACCCGAGGCTAGTGGGCAGTTGCACTTGACTCAATCCAAGACAGGTATAAGTGGGTGCCAAAAAAAAACAGGCAACACAACGGTGTTTCCTATAGCTCGTTGCCCTGAATGTGTTCACACACTGGGTACTTTATCGAAGCAATTCTTTAGTAAGGTTAAAAACATTGTTTAATGAGAATAAAATCTATAGTGTTAAAGAAAAAGAAACATTATAAGCTAGATTATTAGCTTCATGCCAAAAGTCTACATTGTGTACGTAGGTAGACTAGGCGGTCCCTGTTTTCAGAGTTGACAGGCTACCCTCAGTCTCCACAGGCCATGTAACATGATGTCGACAACGCTTTGATGTCATGTCCCGCGAATCTGCATCCCAGACCAGATACTCGGAACAGATCACCGGCAGCAACTACCAAACCGGAAGGCAGGGGAAGGCTGTGAGAGGCGAAACCTTGGCTTTTGCATCATGGGGCCCCCCACGACAATGCAATTGGACTCGTTGATACTACGTACTGGCATTCTGAAACGGTCTTACTCAAGTAACGTCACAAGGCCACGCAAGTCGCAGATGGAGCCACGGCGACTATGCGAATCGCTTCGTTCAGTAGCTCAAGTGGTGGATCATCAGACAAAGGTGCCCGCCTCGGCGTATTGTGTAACAAGATCTTTGATTCCTAGCGAATGGCTATCTCTCCATGCTGCGTATCAACGAGGGTATCATCCGGTTTCTTCGAGCCTCTTCTCTCCCGCCCCATCCCAAAATCTTTCCACAAAGTCCAATAAAAATTACCCAAACCTGCCTGCCTCAGAGCAGTCAACCGACACTTTTAGAAGAAACATGTTATTGTAGTGAGAGAGACTCTGTCATAGATAAGGGTATCCAGACCCTTTGAAATTGTTGTATCAAAGTGTCCTGCACACGCTATGTGAAACGATAGACAAATCAGAACGCCATAAAATGCAATGCTGTCCAGCCAAAAGCAAAACCGTGAAAAAAAGACAATAAGTGACCAGCCAGTGAGTAGGCTGTGCAGTATGTGGGGAGATTTGTTCAGTGGCCAAGTAATTAATCGGGGTTGGCGATGTAAAGGCGCTGGGACGTGAGGGTGCTTGTTCGTTCGTCGACGCTGCCACGTCTTCTAAGCTCTTCGGGATTCTTGACACTCTTCTCCCTGGTTAGGGTAGCGTGCATCAGAGAGTTCGCAGCGAGTCGCGGGGCAACAGACAGTTCAGCCACATTGTCAGCACGCTCAGCACTACTGCCACTATGCGTGCTGCGAGCTTTGCCGCTGGCCGCATCGTCCCTCACAATCGACGCAGGGCGATCGTCGACCAGACTTCCGGATCGCTCAGGGGTGTCGTTAGGGCTTTGTCGTTTGCCGCTGAAACTACCATGGCCCCCGGAAGTTCTGTATGGGATACCACGGCGACCGCTGGCAATACTGTTCCGGCCACTGCTATTCGTCCTGCGGTGTTGAGAGCGAGCCATGGGTTCGTCGTCGCTGCTCTCTCCCTCGGCCTCGGTAGCGAGCAGGCGAAGAGGGACACCGCCCACACCGACATGGTTCTCGCCAGGGGTGAGTCCTACAACCTGATTCTTGGCATGGGCCCGGACCTTGCCGCCGGCTTTTGCGGAGCTCATACCAGTGCTGGTACGACTGCCTGCTCGGACGACTTCGAGATTTGCTCGCTTCTTGGCAGCTCGCTGCTGTGCAGTCAAACGGGGATCCTCATACTGCGCCCGATCGCACCACACTGTCGCCTTTTGTTTGCGTAGCAGAGCAACGTAGCCACCGCCCTGGGGCATGATGCTTGTTGCGCCGCCCGAACGGTTGGATCCTGAGCGTTGCAGGTCTGACACGGAGTTTTGTCGGTAGGCGGCAGGTGGAGGTATGCTCGAGGAGGTGCTTATCGTATTGACGGACGAGGAGCGACGAGAATGCTGTTGGATCGGCTGAGCAAGATGCTGCGGTATCGGTGCCTGCTGCATCGGGTAGCCTGGCTGGGCAGGGAAAACATTTGAGGAGGTGGTGCGCGTGCGGGAGTGAGCATAGGAAGGCGGGCCCGGCTCTAGAGGCTTTCGCCGGATCTGTGGTTGCAGCATTTTGTGACCAACTAAGTACCTGGGTGCTCAAAGCACAGCAATTCTCTCTATTCACGACCAGATAAATGGTGGGCTGAGAGCCGATGCTAGAAATGTATACTGATGTATCAAAAATGCACAGCGACCTCGGCTGCCAAAGAAAGCACCAAGGGCGAGCTCGAGGAGTTTGGAGGTGGGTGGAGGGAAAATGGCCGAACTCCAAGTGGTGCCTGGAAGAAGAAAGGGGAGCCCCGACCGCCGAGTCAAATATATGGTCAGACAGCCAGGGACCGAGTACAAAACCGCTTCGGATGGTACGGTTCTCGTAAGCGATCCCCGGAACAATAGCAGGGGAGCGAAATAAAGCGCTGTGGTGGTGGCAGTGTGGTTGAGCAGAGCAGAGTAGAAGACAAGGCTCGGTCTGGAAAGGCTGAGGTCGAGTATTTACGGCAACTTGGGGCCAAGAGGGACGTGCTAGAGCCCCAGTCCAACGTTGCATGGGCCGGCCGTCTAAGGTAGGTCGGCCTTGGACTCTTCATGCAGGCCTGCGCTACGCTACCTAACGCTGGGCTTGGCCGCGCAGCTTTAGTGGCCTGAGGGGCTTGCTGCCCCGCTATGGGGCAGGGGGCGTCAGTGCCTTCTTCACAGCTGAATGGGCGTCCTCGGCCAATCACAGCGCCACGGCGGCTGCGCAGGTGTTGATGTAATCCCTCGACTGCCCATCTTGCCTCTGCAGTCCCATTAGGTACGAGTTTTTTTCCTGGGCTTGGCAGATAGATCTCCATCCACGGCCTTTCCTGGCGCCCCGCAAAGATCCCGATGGCGTCACAACAGCCAGCCCGATGGCATGACACGGTTTTGTCCATGCCAGCCATTGTGCTCGGTCCAGCTGTCAAACAGACTAGTCGGTTCAGCTCCTCGGGGTGAGACTCGGTGGTCAACTCAACCCAAATGCATGTAGGGCCGGCATAGGTCCATAGTGTGCGGCTGGGTCCCAGGTAATACGCTCAATGGTCAGGACACACGTACATAAGCCGCTGTGCCGCTAAAGCTGAGCTCCTAGGGGCAACGTGCCTGCGGATCTTGATGGGGAGGGTAATCCTCCTGTGGAGAGGCAGCAGACCATCCCATCCGTCTGTATGTACCCAGTCTGCGGTCTGCAGCGATGCGCTGATCCAATGGGCCGAAGGAAACACACAACATGCCCATCCTCACCGGGGAACGGTGAATTGGCCTGGCCTCGCACCGCGATGTGCAGCTGACGACTAACTCGTTCCGATTGTTGATTTGCGTACACTCATTACATGTCCTCCACCCGCCAGCGGCTTGGCATCGCGCGTAAGCGGCTCCCTGTCAAGCCAGACGAGCCAAATTCTCGCCGGGCTCAGAGCTACGCGGGCAGCGGAATCTAGCTTGCCCTCTCTTATCGGCACTTGCGGTGCCAATTGCATCTTCGCCCATGCGATCACCTCATCTCCACAGACTGTCTCGACTATCGCGCTATCGCCAATGGGACGAATGAGGGAATGTGCAGGGCGAGGACGGCGCCAAATCTGAATCATCCCTCCAATCCGTCACTTGACTTTCTCATCACCGCAACATGCAATTCTCAGCATGCGACTGTTCTACCTGGGCCACATATGCATACATCATGCAACAGCGGTGCACTGCATCTGCAAAGGGAACCCCGACAGCTGCCCTGTCTAGAGCAGGTAAGAAACAACCTTGCCAAACTCCCGCTTTCACACTAGGCCTATGCAACATAGCAGCTGAGACTGCTGTACCTCGTCCAACTGATTGGACGACAGTTCGAGCTTGCCAGACATCTGCTCCGATTTCCTGACAGCTACTACGGTAGCGACATGAATTAGCCTGGGTGGTTTTGTTCCGGCCGGCTCGTCTAATAATCACCTCAGCATTATAAGGCGGGAGTTAACCCTCCCATTTTTCGCCGTCCCACCAACAGGCGGACCCCGGGCGTGATAGCTTAGAGTCTCATCAGCCCATCGTAAGCCCCTCAAACGAGTGTGTAATGAACACACTTCCGACCGATACTAGTGGATGTTCTGGACTCATGCGGCATCAGCCTATCCGGGTTGGCCGGCTTGCACATTTTTCGACTAGACGGACGCCAATTTTCCTAGCCAGATGGCTGCCATGACCCTCTCTATTGGCAACGTCCCCCAATAGACTGCCCTACGGTGAATTCTCCTTCGGCGATCAGATCTCACAGGGCTGGTTAGCTGCCCAACGTGCTTACTCGGTGTGGTGGGCTACGTATTGCTCGCAAAACCCGGTTTTTTCCCCAGCAGAACAATGCTCCCCGGGCTCTCTCATTTTTGGTGATCACTCAATCTCCATCCGTGCTTTATTATCTCAAACAGGAAAGCAGCTGGATGGTTTGATCGCGATCCCTGGCATCAGATAGGTAATGATTGACGCCAGATCAGCAAGCATTCTGGGGAACAAAGCTTCAGGTCGCTTATTGCCCCAACGAGCTAAAACGTTGGAAGCTTTGCAACGAATGAGCACATGGTGGTGCCATTCGCGAGAAGGTTTGGCGCGCCGATAGATTGTGATAGCTCATCTCACTGTTATTTTAGCTCTGTTCTTATTGGCACACTCTCGCGGCCGCCAGCTCACCGACGGCGGAGCGAAGGAATTGGCTACGTGTAGATAACAAATGCAGGTTTTTGCGACTGACTGTGCCGGAGACATTAACACTAGTATTATAACCACCGCGACCGGGGCCAGGAATCAATACATCCCGCTGGTTCCTTGGAACTGGCAGCACAATGTTACACTAACTCCATGATCCCATCTAGGATTCCCTGCCTTGATCGAAACCGGATTTGGCGACGACGCTTATGTACAGGCAGAACCTTGTTGCGACGGTTGGCTCGAGGGCGCATTAGTGTGAGCAAAAGAGGGATTAAAAACGTAGAAGAAAGCAGAGCGAGTGTAGATGCAAGGACGAGTGATGAGCGCAGCGCCACATGGAACGCCCAAAAAATCCCACGTAGCAGCGGCTGGGCCGATTGCTTTTACCGAGCTGCACATGCAAGATGGGCTTGCATTTGGGCATTGAACCCGATGCATAACGGTCAATTGATTGACAGGATCCCATCCCAACTCGCACATGCCGCCCGTCGTTGAAGCCGGGGAAACGGTTGGGTGGGATCGATCATCATGACTTCATCGACCTCGAAGCGGGTATCCCCAAGGAAACCGTCTCTCCACAGATTAGCGACCCGGCTAATAAACACGAAAACCCAGTTCTTTATCTAACGCCATGGTTGACGGGCTAATTAGCTCGTACAGCAAGCGATACTTTCCGGTCGTCCACCCCGAGAATACCTACCAATTCATTACACGCCTCGCATTCAGCGAGCGCGGAGTGGCCGTTTGGTGTCGCCGAGTTGATGCGACCTTTCTTTGGGAGACGGCCGCCCCTGGTTTCGCCTGTGCTACATCCCTAGTCTCCATCGAGCATCGGCTCGTGTGGTTGGTTGCCCTTTTTGTTATCTGCAATGCCGCGAGGAATTCTTTGTGTTTTCCTTGTTTCGCATCTCCACAACGGGAAGCATAGATAAGCGCATCAAGCAATTCCCGTCCATCTAAACGAGTAGACGTATATTGTACACCCTCTGACTATTGGCTTGATGTGCTACAAATGTATTTGGCACTGTCTTTATGGAGTTCATATCATTTTCTCACGCGGCGTCACCTAAAGCTTTTCAAATATGGCTGTATATTCCGTGATCCTCTTAAGGCTATCCCTTCTTAAATGCAAAAGTCTAAGACCTTTCCACCCCTTACTCGTCCTGTGTACAATTGTCCTCACACCACTTGCGGCGGATATTAGTGATTATTTTAAGCGATTGAGAGATCCTCCTCACAGGATGCACCGTCAAAGCGCTTTTCTGCCTTCTTGCAGCAACTTGGTTTCTTCAGTAGGTAGTATGAGAAGTTGCAGTCGCAACGGATGCGTTGTGTTGTAGGCCACACATGGTCAGTATCCACCTCTAGGTCTCGTTGTAGTAGCCAACTTTCTATACCTGTCTCCGCGATATCTAGATTGGTATTGATAGCTTGGCCTTCCTCATGAGTCGGGGGCGACAGAGGCAAATTCATAGCCTAGACCTGGGGAGCCTCTGTATGCCACACTATCGAGATCAGCGTAGTGGTAACCCATGGCGAAAATGGATTTTGAGATCTAGAGAGAGGACGCATGTGTTTCGCAGAGGACCTATTCGAGATAGTAGCTTGACGGTCAGTCCTTAAAATAATACTTCTCTTCTTGCTACTATCCCACGGTAGGTTCTACCTAGGTCTTGTCTGCTCGAGAAGGTTCTTAGTGTTTATAGTATTCCGGGGGTTGAGGGCATCTAGCTCTGCAATTGTCACAAACTGCTTTAGTAGAAATCGTCCTGGTCGTCTGGTTTTTACACTCTATGATGCTACCATCGTAATCCCTGACCGCCTCGCGACATCCACTGACCAGTTTCCTTTTGCAGTGGAACATCGAGTGACCTATGTGGGCGTCGTCAGGCCGAAGCATATGACGGCAACAGACCTCGCGGGCAAAAGGGCAATCGTAATTTGCGCGTGCACATGGACACCAATGCATGAAGTGCTCGAATTTACACATCGCTTTAACGGGAGGTTGGGTGGCTGTTTTGGAAGCTTTTGTTATGGTTGTTGGTGTTCTTGTTGCCTTCGGTTGCTTGTTTTTCAATAGTGTCGAATTATCTAGGGAGGTTGTAACTGTACTACTGAAGCAACAGACAGATGTTTATATAGACGAGATTTCAGCCACGAACTCCTACCTAGATTGGTCTCCAAATAGATTTGGCAGCGAAAAAGAACAAGCAAAACGGTTGGATCTTGTCAACAAGAGGCTCACCTTCCCCATCCTGGCATGACAGAATGATTGAGCTTTGAACTGGAGTCATCACGAGTGTGCATATAGAGAGTTTTGGAACATGACGGCTTGTGTGCCAACAACGGCGCTTTATAACGCTTTATTGTCCCCATTGTATCTAACTTCCAGGCACAGATGGAAACAACGGGGAATTTGGACAAAGCGTTCATAAAGAGTTCATTGAAGCTCTTTAGCACCAATGAGACAGCTCGAGTTGCACGCTGACTCAGCCACCAAGTTGGCCGTTGTCGGACGGCTAAACGAATAAGGTGCCGTGGATTGAATTGGCGGGAGCACGAGCTCATTAGCGTCCATGACGAGTAGAAAAAAAGAACACATAAATATCAGGTGGAATGGACAGCAACCCGCGACATGTCCTCGCAACACATCGAGTCGGCGATAAGAACTGGCTGAACTGTGTCGCGGGTGCAGATAGCTTAATCCCAACCCTTGTAGGCCGCAATTGGCATTCCTAAAGCGGCAATCGACACGGCCAGGGAGCAGTCCCAGCAGCATCCCGCCCGTCTGGCAGGGCATCCTGACGTCAAACCGTTCCAAATCCATTTGGCTAGCAGCAAGGGTAAAAGGGGGTCTTGGGCTGTCCCGTCGGGCACGTTTTCCATCCAACGCCTCTCACAGGCTCACCGACGAGAGCACAGAATTCCTGGAAACTTTTTTTTGACTCACCCGATCCTGTACCACCGGTTCGTTCGTCTGCCACCCCGGCTTGGAGACGCAGCCACCCCAGTCTCCCGTGTCGTGTCTAAGACAGGTTTCTGCATGCACATGCCAGGTCGTGGTGATCCCATCGCCCAGTCAGCCCCCGGCGTCTGATTCGGTGCCGACGAATATAAATCTTAATTCTCAGCTGAGCCGAACTCTCGGGCCTGTGCCGCGGTGGTCAAGCCTCCGATGCTGGAATCGGCCGGCAAGGCTTAAGCCATGAAGTTTGCGAAGGAGCTTGAACGAGAAGCTGTTCCAGGTACGTCGTGCATCGTCACCCAGCCCAACGCCATGTCTCGCAACGAAGCCTTGTTTTCTTGCTCTGAGACAAACACGAGAACATATCGCATGATTACAATTGTGTTCAGACCGCTCATGATAATCTGCAGAATGGCGCATCAAGTATCTCAACTACAAGGCCGGCAAGAAACATGTCAAGGCAGTGGCCAGAGCCATCAACCGTGCCACCGGAACACCACGAAGCCTTGGACCGCGGACGCCAACGCAACACTTCTTCACACCGTCGATGGGCGCGAGACGAGACTTCGAAAGCAAGAGTAAAAAGGGCGATGCAAGTCCGCTTCGCAATCAGGCCAATGGCAGCTCGCATCGCGACGGCACACAGTCGGCGCCAATTCCTTTTGCTAAGAGGAGGGAGGACGAATCATTGACACAGGACGGGAACAGCTTCCAGTATGGGAGTTTTGTGGCGACGCCCCCTGCGACAGAGTCTCCTCTACAGCTACAGAAGACTGCGACCTTCGAATTGCCCGGGCCAGCTATGCGTCAATCGGTATCGTCTATCCAAGATGACTGGGACAAGCCGCAAGATACGACTCCCACCAGCAAGTATACCATCCGCAGAAGCTTGTCGGATGGTCCTATGGAACCCCCTGCCGATAAGCAGTCCGCCTCCAAGCCCCTCCCGAAGCGTTCAACTACGGCTTTTCTCACTTCAAGTCCTTCCCAACACCGACGCCTATTCACGATGACGAGGTCGGAGACCGCGATGGGTACTCTGGACGCGGTCCGTCAGAGAGAGGCCGAGCTCTATGCTTTCATGGACTCTGAATTGGACAAGGTCGAGACATTCTACAAAATGAAGGAGGAGCAGGCCGGAGAAAGGCTGGCCCTGTTGAAGGAGCAGCTGCACGAAATGCGAAATCGGCGCATCCAGGAGATTGCCGAGTCTCGCCAAGATGGCCACCACCACAAGCACAACGGAGGACCTCTAATTCCTGAAGGGGGACCGCAAGCCAATGATTGGGTTGGCCCTATCAAGGCCAAGATGTTCCGCCCAGGCCCAAACTCCAAGGCCCTTCAGAATATGACGGCCACCCCGCACATCTCCGCCATCAATTCGGGTGATGCAGCGAGAGATTATATCCGACGCCCCAAAGCCGACGACGTATCATATCGCACTGCAAAACACAAACTGAAGCTGGCTCTTCAGGAATTCTATCGCGGCCTCGAGCTACTTAAGTCGTACGCCATGACGAACCGCACAGCATTCCGAAAGCTCAACAAGAAGTTTGACAAGGCCGTCAACGCCAGACCTCCCCTCCGTTACATAAATGAGAAAGTCACCCCCTCGTGGTTCGTCCAGAGTGATGTCCTCGAGGGCCATATCAAGACTGTCGAAGACTTATACGCTCGTTACTTTGAGCGCGGAAACCACAAGCTAGCAGCCGGCAAGCTTAGAAGCCTGAACAAGAAGCACGACGATAAAGCAGGCAGTTCGTTTCAAAATGGCTTCCTGATCGGAACGGGAGTCGTCTTCACTGTCCAAGCCGTCATTTACGCCGCCGCCCTACTGTCCCACGATGACGAGGAGGTCCGCACACAAACCAGTTACCTCATGCAGATATACGGAGGTTATCTTCTTGCGCTGCTTCTCTTCTCACTCTTCTGTATAAACTGCATGATATGGACAAGAAACAAGATCAACTACCCCTTTATTTTCGAATTTGACCAGCGTCATAATCTTCACTGGACTCATTTGGCTGAGTTTCCCAGCTTCTTTTTTCTCATCTTTGGCATCGTTGCTTGGGTCAATTTCAGTGGATACGGACCTGAATCTTTCTACATATATTACCCCGTTGTCCTGATTGGATTTACCGCGATTATCCTCTTCCTTCCACTTCCTTTCATAGCATATAGGAGCCGGAGATGGTTTGCATATTCACACGTGAGTACACCCACCGCCGTCAACTAGAAAACCCTAACTGAATATTTGTTTCTTTGCAGTGGCGTCTGTTACTAGCTGGTCTATATCCCGTCGAATTCAGAGACTTCTTTCTGGGCGATATTTACTGTTCTCTGACATATTTTACAGCGGTAGGTGTTATTAAGGGCCACCAGCCCAGCTCCTATTTAGTCAACTTAAAATCCGCTTACTGACGGCCACTTAGAATATTGAGCTTTTCTTCTGTCTCTATGCCCGCGGTTGGAACGATCCCGACCAATGCAACTCGAGTCATTCTCGTCTCATGGGCTTCCTCACTGCCTTGCCGCCAATCTGGCGTTTCCTGCAGTGTCTCCGGCGTTACTATGACACCAGGAACGTTTTCCCGCACTTGGCCAACGGTGGAAAATATACTATGTCCATCATGGCCGCCGTCACGCTGTCTATGTATCGCATTGAGAACACAAGGGAAAAGCTAGCGCTATTCATCACCTTTTCCCTACTGAATAGCATCTACTGCTGTACGTAACCCAACCCCGAAACCTCTCCCAGATCTCACCCAGCTGACATGAACCAACACAAAGCCATCTGGGATCTCTTCATGGATTTTTCCCTCCTTCAAGCCGGCGCCCGGCACATCGGTCTGCGAGACATCCTCGCCCTGAAGAAGCGATGGCCCTACTACACCATCATAGTCCTCGACCCCCTCATCCGGTTCGCCTGGATCTTCTACGCCATCTTCACCCACGACAGACAGCACTCGACGCTCTGCTCCTTCTTCGTCGCCTTCGCCGAGGTCCTCCGCCGCGGCATGTGGACCTGCTTCCGCGTCGAGAACGAGCACTGCGGCAACGTCTCCCAGTACAAGGCCTCGCGCGACGTGCCCCTCCCCTACACCATGGAGCCCCTCATGGACCGCCCCAGCACCGACGTCGAGGGCGAAGGCGGCGACCGCCTGCAGGCCCTGCCCGCCTCTCAGACACCTCAGCAGGTCGCCGCGACGCCCGAGGCCGGCCAGGTCACGGGGAGCTCCACGGCCGTCACGAGCACCGTCGGCGGCGCCCTCCGCCGCAGGGACACGACCGCCTACAGCGTGTCCAAGCTGCTGGCCGAGGCGCACAAGCAGGACTTTGAGAAGAAGCGCAAGTCGCCCCAGCAGGCCGCCCAGGAGGCGGTGGACGGGCACGACGGGCCCAGCGACGACGATGACGAGGATAGCGTCTTCGACGTGTCCGAGGCCGAGTCTCGGAGGCGGACGGGGGATGTCACGCCCGAGTCCCAAGTCTAGCACTAGGGGCGTGTGGTTTCTAAGGTCAAAAATTGAGTATCTTGGTTTCTTTGGTTACATATCAGGGGGAATGAATAAAATAGGGTTACTGAGCGTTATATGAAGTTTAGCTAGCTTAGTCTAGAGTTGAGCCCAGGATACCACGGCATGGGCTCACAAGCGTCTATAATCAATACAATGGGGAGAAGTTGTTTTTTTTTGAAAAATCATTCAAGATGGGTTCTAAATCTATCCCAGACTATCTTAATCTCTACCCGTGTATCTGCCTAGATCTAAAAATGCTAAGCCTTGAAATCTGTAAACCTGCTGTGAGATGCTCTAGAAAGCAACATCTGTAACATCATGAGCCATTACTACACCTGGCAGGCCCGTGTGGGACAAGCCGAACAAAAACTCCAGAAATGCTGGTAGGGACATGACCCTAGTACTCCCACTCATTGTCGATCTTCTCCCAGTTGTCCAGGAATCCCTTGAAGAACTTGACACCCAGGCCAGGGTCCAGCGCGCCGGTGGTGGCGCGGATAGAGTGCATGCTCAGCTGGGGCAGGCCGACGTCGATGGCCCGGACACCCATGGCGCTGGAGAGCATGGGCCCAACGGTGCCGCCGCTGCGGGAGTCGTTGCGGATCTGGAACGGCTGCGTCACGGTTCCCGAGAGCTCGGCGACGCGGCGGGCGATGGCCGTGGAGACGGCATCGGTGGTCATGTGGCCGTTTGAGTCGTTGCTGATGACCATGCCGACGTTGAGCTTGGGGATGTGCTCGTCGAGGTAGTTGTGGAGGAAGTTGGGGTTTCCGGCGTGGCTGACGTCGGCGGAGAGGAGGAAGGACTTGGCGTAGGTCTGGCCGATGAGGCCGGGGCCCGAAGTCTGGGGGTTGAGGCCCTCGACGATGCGCTCAATGGTCGAGGGGAGGAAGTTTCCTCGGGCGCCCTGGCGGAGCAGGGAGCCGATCTCCTCGTCGTCGAAGAGAGCGACGAGCTTGACGTAACCCTCGTCGTCGTTGTCTGTTGATGCGAGGAGGGCCATGATGGCAGGCCATGAGCACAACTTGTCGTCGATGCGGCCTGCAGTGATAAACTCCCTGTCCAGTCCAAGAGTGGAGGCAGGCTGAGTGTCAAACAACTCGAGCTCCCAGTTGAGGATGGAGCTGTAGGATGAGATGCCAAGCTCCTTTGAAATCAACTGAACCAATCGTGGAGGCTGCGTGTTAACGAACGAACCAGCAGGGCCCAGGGGCTCGGCGGCAGACTTTCCAGTGCTCTCCAGCCCAATGATGGGCACGGCCTCGGTCTCAGCGTTGTTGTTTCCCATCATACCAACTCCGAAATGAGGAGCCAGCGTTGGGATCTTGGCAATCGGCCAGCCCAGCTTGACAAGCTTTGAGGTCGTCTTGCCCGTCTCCTCGTCCTTGACGATGACGCGACCACCAATGCCGAGGTCGCGATCCCACCACGTCTTGTTCAGGCCGCCGGCGTACGGGGCCACGCCAAGCTGGACATAGCCAGCCTTGTTGGGCTTCGTGCTAACGGGCTTCAGTCTGGCGGTGAGGGCATCGATGTGACCGGCGATGATGCCGACTCCGTTTCCGGGCTTGTAGGCCTTGCCCACGGTGAATGCGATGATGGAGCTTCCGTTTCGTGAGACCCAGTACTTGCCGCCGGGCTGGAGCTTCTCGGCCCAAGAATCGCGGGGAGGGAGCTGTGAGAGATGGATTTGTCAGGACAAGCAGCGAAAGCGTTAGCACAGGCGCTTAGCTTACCTCGGTGAAGCCCAGGTGTCCGAGCTTATTCTTGAAGTAGTCAACAGTGTGGAAGACTGTTGGGTTCTCGCGCAGGAAGTCAGTGAAGGGCTTGGTGTAGGCAGCAGGGTCCTCGAGGGCAATCTGGCAGAGCTGGCAGGGCTCGTCGATGGGCAGGCCAGGATGGATCTCCAGCTGCTTCTCCCGTGGGAGCTGCGAGATGCACTTGGCGCATGCGTAGTTGTCTGAGAGGTGTCGCTCGTCCATGCCGGCGATGGTGAAGTCGCGCAACTTGCCGCTGATGCTGCTTATCTCCTGATTCACGGAGCTCTGGCGCTGCTCCGCGACCGGGGCGACAGATGCGGTAGAAGCAGTCGCAGGCTGCTGGTGTACTGGCGGCACGAATGACTGGGACATGGCCAATCCTGGGGTGCGTCGAGTCATGGTTCCAATTCCAAGGAGCAGCGACGATGTGGGAGTGAGAGAGGGAGGGATGGTCTGGGGGAGAGCTTTTGGTTCGGGAGAAGGCAGATGGCTAATCGAGGGCAGAGATGTTGTCATTGGCCAAAGCTCAGCGGCTGTGCCTTACATAGCAGATCCGAAGGAACTGGGGCACGATAACGCTAAATCCACCCGCAATGCAGGGATGTGATGTGTCTGGTATCTGTATTTGTATGACTCGAGGTCATCCGGCTCGGATAAAGCATCAAATGGCAGGCTCATGACAAAGTCAAGTGGCTGGTCAGTGGGTTCAAGCCCAGTCACCTGGACAACTCTATGGCAGATCTCGCCTCAATCAAGACGCTTGTCTCACTGCCACAAAGTATCGCCTCAGACTTTTCCCCCGTGAACTCTCATGGAGTCTATTTCCATTCCCGATGCCAAGCGACGGTTATGGCCTTCACGCAAGCTGTGACTAACGATACTCGCTATACCTAAATTCAGCAACGCCAAGCAGGAAATCGGCGGATTTCCTCTTCGTTCCAGGCATCTTCATTCTAATACTTCTCGGGCAGCTTCAAGGCAATGATTCGCGGCTCAGCGCATGTTCATTTGTCAATTCACGGGCTATTGAGAATGACCATTCAACACTCACCGTCACCAATCCAGGATCAAGATGCATCGTGAACAGCATTGGGAAGTGAGACGAAGCATACATATATCAAAATCTCCTGCACAGTGAATATTCGAATTCCCCAAGGGACGGGCTCTTGATGGACCACAAATGCCCGTTCCCTGCCTTGTCTTATTTACAGTCCGTGTCCGTGTCCGTGCCCGTGTTGGTTGCGTGTAGGCATTCATGCCTTGTCCAGATCATATATATACCATCTTCTTTACTGTCGAGCAATAGAATAAATGTGTTACGGCAAATTGAAAGCTTGATCCCGCATAAACACTCCAGAGTTCCTAAATTTGTTCTTTTTTTTTTCTTTTCAAGATGAATATGCTAAAGCGAGCTCTTCCCGAGGACGTTGGGGTTAGCCCCAGCAAGATCGAGGCGTTTCTCGACGATGCCGAGTCCAAGGGAATAGAATTACACTCCTTTATGATATATTGGCAGCAGAGTGTGATCGCCGAGGGCTGGTGGTGGCCATACCAACAGGATATCCCTCACATGCTGCACTCTGCGACCAAAAGCTTCCTCGCCGTCGCTGTAGGGCTGGCCATTCACGAAAACTACTTTGGCCTTCACGACAAAGTGGTCTCCTTCTTTCCAGACCATGCCCTTCCCGATGGCGAATCTAGCAAAAGGGCCCAGAACATGACCGTTGAGCACCTCCTGACGCAGACAAGTGGCCACGGTGTTGGGCAGTCCGGAGGAGAGTGGCGTAACATCGAAGGGAGCTGGGTGGACAAGTTCTTCAGCACGCCGCTCGATCATGAACCCGGGTCGGAGTTCGTCTACTCCAGCGCCACCAGCTTCATGCTCTCGGCTATAATCACCAAGACCACCGGTGTGCCAGTCCGAGACTTCCTCGAGCCGAGGCTGTTCCGCCCTCTGGGTATAAAGATGCTCAACTGGGATGATGGCCCAGGTGGAGTGAATCCAGGCGGCAACGGAATCAGTTGCCTTTCCGAAGACTTCCTCAAATTAGGGATTCTCCATCTTCAAGAAGGCATGTGGGAAGGCAAACAGATCTTACCGAAGGAGTACGTCAAGGCCAGCACCACTCCTCAGCGAGAAAACCCATACGGGTACCACTGGTGGACACTCCCTGACGGTGCGTATCAAGCTCGGGGCATGTTTGGGCAGTACGTGACAGTGTTGCCAAAACATGACGCCGTTGTAATGGTTACTGGAGGTGTGCCACAAGGCGCTATCGCGTTGAAGGAACTTATTTCCCAGCATTTCCCGTCAATGTTTCTATCCTCAGACGGACCCGCGAGCGAAGGAACCTCACCCCGCCCGCTGCCGACTCGTTTACGCCACTTACATCTTATGGCTCCTCTTGAGACTCCGCCCAAATCTTCTTACTTGGAGAACATCGTCTCGAAGGAACGGTTTGCAGCAAAAAGACCCAATGATGATGGTGTTATCTCGTTCACTCTTGACTTTTCGAACACCACGTGCTTCTGCATATTCCATCTACATGACCATCGAGGGTTCCACCAGGTTGAACTTGGCTTCCATAGCTGGCGGGGGGGCAAAACGAGCCTGTCAGGCGCAAAATTGCACCACGGCTACGAGTTTGCCCAGTCGAGCGTCGTCTCCAGAGGTCTGTGGACGTCGGAGGACACGTTTGAGATGACACTCCAGTTCAACGAGACTGCCTTCCGCGATGTCATTACAGTGACATTCTTGAACGGTGGAAGCGTCGCCAAGCTGGACCGACGTGTCAATGTCAATTCCTTTGGTAGGCAAAGGCCAACAATATGGTGCAGCACCCTCGTCAAAGGTGACGAGCTGCTTCCCTCGAGTGGGCTTGGATCTGGTCACAAAATCACTTACTCCATCGCCTCGAGCACGGTTGGTGAACTCCTTGATAACCCGGAGACACGAGCTATTTTGGAACAGGAAGTCCCAGAACAACTTCTTGCAGATCCGAGGCTGGAAAAAGCTCGTATGTACACCTTTGAGATGGTCGGGCCGAGGGTAAAGGGGATGGGAGAAGATATTTTGGCTAAGATCGATGCCAGGTTGGCAGCTCTCTAAAGCCTGGATGCAGAAAATGGTCGGAAAGGCGAGTGGTGTAGCAATTGCTAAGGATGTTTTACACAATACCTGCCACGTGAATCTAGTTTCGACGTGGATTGTCGACAAAATTGCCTACCTACCTTTCGTAAATAGCGAATAAACTTACACGCACAACATTGAAACCTTTTGTGTTCCCTATTACTTTACTTCGCAACCTCTCCTTGGGCTTTCAGAATTCATGTTAGAAATACACAAGACCGTTCCTGTTCACTATAACTGACTACACGGCAAGTCATCACGAAGGCAGAGGGGTATAGCTACAGGGTACGAATAATACCTAGAGAAATGCAAGCAAACTTGAACTCAATGTCTTCTACTTCAAAAATTCAGAACCGTGTCAAATTCGGTGATTCATCTTGAAGATTTAATGCTCTGAACAAAGCTGCGAGGGCTAACTACCCACGGGACAAGATTATTTTTTCATGCTCACTACGCTGAAGCAGGTAGAGGCTGATAAAGCGACGGCGCAAGTAAAAGAGGAGGTCCATCCTCCTTAGTCCTGGCCAGCGGCATCCTGTGGGGAGCTCGAATGCGAGTGATATATACCGATCATATCAAATATCGGAGCATATTGAAACATCAACAGATAAAGCAGACGGCCCCATCGAGACTTAGGCAGCTGACGGAGCACCCTTGTAGCCAGACAGTTTCGCGAGCGTGCTGGCCTCCATATCCCAGCCAGGGTCTTGCTTGCAAAATGGCCAACTGACTTAACGCCGGCGTGGAACAAGGATCATGGAGCCTTGGACCATGCAGCCGTTACGTGCAGCACGACGTAGCATCGAAGGGGGGGCTCGTTAGATATCAAGTACAGCATATCAGATTGTGGGTGCTGTCCTGCCATTTTATCCGAAGAAAGGACGATAAGGTCTGCTTTAAGTTGTATTTCCAAAATATCAGACCAAAGGAAGTAAGAGTCTCTAGGCATGAGTCTCAAGCCTGACATACGTGAATGCAGAGGGCAAGTAACATAAAGATTGAATCTTCAATCTGTAGGGTAGTTCAGGACTTTGACCAAAGGTCGAAATTCAAGCATCTCCGACCAGCTCGTTTTTTGTAAGACACAAATCGACTGAAATTATGCTAACTAGACAAGAGGCGGTGAAATTATTCTGGAAGCTTTTCTGGCATGGAAGCAAAGAAGAAGTCCTCTTGCAGGCTTCGGCTGCGTATGTGGAGAATGCATTGTATGCAGCAGCAAGATTCATCTCCGCATGAGGCAGCAGAACAAAGTCCTCTGGCTCTAAGCGAGTGACACCGCAGCGGGATATTCGTTGCTGGTTGCGGCCGTCGGTCTCTTTCCGAGCCAATAGCATCCAGACTCAGTGTTGAGTTCGGGTCATACCTGGTCTTCCGCAGAATAATGGCCGGCGATTGCGCTCAACTCAACGGGTGCATGTGCTCAGCGCCGGGGAGGTCCCTTACATGCCATGTCTATAATACTCGGCTGTTAAACATCGAAGGTGGTAGGGGATGCTATGAAAATGCGGTGACACCACTGATCTGACAGATGTCGTGCCTTGGATCAAACCAAACACACCCATGATCCCGTTAGGTGCAGATCTCACTCATAGATTCTATAGATTCTGACAGATTGCTAGTCGAGGTAGAGTACCTCCATGTGTTTGCCACTCGCGCAGGCAGACATGACCAGACATGTCAGCCCATTCCCCGTTGGCTTTCCTGGCTGGAGGCTCGCTTCATGCTTGGGTGTGGAACGGGACCAGAGGCTGGAGGAAGGGGAAACGGAAGCTGAGTGCGTTGCCCCAATCTGGCGCTGCGTCTCAGATTGTAAATCCACCAAAGAAGGGCCACCTTGCTGGGTCGTGTTTCTATTACCTGCAGCTGCAGGAAACATGCGTGGGAGGATGGGTGGATGGAATTCGCTTTCTCGCATCATACATCAGGGAACCCTGGGCCAATATTGACTGCAATAGCTTGCGGGGAAAGCTGGATATCGACTAATGTCGGGCGTTGTGGAACCGGCTGGAACACTCTCTACGTGTTGCTACTGGGTAGAGCCCTGTATTACTATCCAAGATCTCCATCGTGGGAAACGCCATCGTAAGTTGATCGAGCCACATTGACAATGGCGCCAAGTACGTACTCAATCTCGATATGCCTATCCATGGTGACTTTCCAGGACCCAAAATGGCAGGCCATCTGCGAGATATACAGATCACAGTAGCAATGAGACGCATGCAGCCGGGTTGGTTCCAAGCGAATGTATTGTATAAGCTATATTGGAGAGGATATTATCATTATATTATTGTATAGATATGGAATAATACATGAGACCATATTCACCGCAAACCACCACCAAGGCAATACGAGGAGACCGACTAATCTACACCGCCATGAGATAAAATACATAATGCAGTATGATATAATCTGCATCGGTAATTATTTGGCCAAGCCAGATAAGACTAGGTTGACCAATCGATTTGCGAAACAGCGTCATAGCAGGGGGAGTCCAGTGCGTACTCGTGGCTTGACAGGGCATCTGGGGCCAGATCTGCAAGTGTCGTACATTGTGGTAGGAGGCGAATCTTGCGGCATTCAGACGGGACCGCAGCACCTTCTACGCCGTGGCGGAGGATGACGAAACTTTTGCTTTCGTAATATGCTATGCTTTCCTCGCAAGCGTAGAACTGGACCGGTTGGAGCTCAGGAACATCCCCACGTGAGAGCATGACTCCAGGAGTTCCTGGACCAGCGTCGAGGTGTCCAGTTGTGAAACCCTCCGGATCGGCATCAGGCGTTAGTTTGAGCCCAGATGGGAAAGTCGGAGTGCCGCCATCGGTGATGATGGTGGCCTGGTCTTGCTCATATTCACTCGTCGTCCCGTTTTGGTAGAAGACACGGCCTTTGTCCGAGGAGAAGCCAACCAGTGCCAGTCCAGCCCCCACATGAATGCTCGTCACGAAGGAATATTGGATGGGGGTGGCAAAGTCATTGGAAGGGTCGGCAAGATCGACTATCAGGTTGAACCCTTTGGAGGTGGAGAACGAAGGAGAGCGTGTCTCCTCTCGTAAACGAAGGGGTGACGATGCCGCAGCACCCAACAAGCTTAGGCTTAGGAGAATATTGAGCATGATTGATGAGAAGAATTAGAGTGTTCAGAATCAAATAGAAGAGAGTAACAGATGGCACTATAGAAAACAGATAAGTTGCACCTTCCATTCGAGAGGACATCACGGCGTATTTCAAGAACCAAAAAACGCGCAGATAAACAGTCACGATACCACCATCAATCGCAGCTAATAGCTAGTCTTTGCCACGCCCACGAAGAGATCGTCTTGAGGGGCAGTGGCAACAAAGAGAGAAGGTTTGGCCGAGGGTGGCCGGGCCTGTCACAAAGGAATCCCAAGGCTTGCAAGTCTTGCAAGTGCAGGTCGGGACCAATCTGAAAGTTCAGTAGAGAGCGGGTATCTCAGTTAGTGCCGAAGTCAATTGTCCAGTTTCCCCGGAGTGCCTGAACTCTGTTCGGGCAGAGCGACGTAATGCACTGGAACGTTTGACGGGACTATTCCGCACCTGTCTTGGTGTTTCAGTTGAGGCGTTGTAAGCGAGATCCGTCTGCCGTTCAGCTGAGAGACAGAAAGTGCATATCTTACGTGTTCTTGCTTATCGAGGGCCTCAATTGGGACAAGAGTGATGGGCAAGGCTGGGAAAATGAGTTGTCAACACCAGCCGCAGTGGGCCGAAGGTGGTTTCCCCGGCCGATGCGTGCACTCACAATCTTGATAGGTTCGTGCTCTCCGCAACATCGATCACTTGATTGGCCCCTTTCCAGGGTGTCTCACTCAAAACAGGTTCCCTTGCGAGCCAAGACGCGGAATTGGATAGATAGGTAGAAAGATGAGACAATGTGGTCCATGTGATCCTTCCACCGAAAATAAAGAGAAAACTTTTCTCGCCAAAGTTGCCGCCGGAAAATGATTGATCACCAGCGTAAACAGACACAGCCTGAGCAACCCAGTCAGCAGCAATTAGGAGAACAGTATTGGCGGCCGGGCTGTACGGGAACCGGAAGGATTCCTTGACTGGGGCCACACGGACTGCCCAATGTGAACATGCCTTGGCCAACGCTTCCCGGCCCGTAGTCAGTTGAAGCAGTCCACATCCGATGGGGTTGATGGCAACAGCCTTTCTTCTTAGCGTTTCCCTGGAACTAGTGTCGGCTTTTGCAGTAACTTTAAAGTGATTCCCAGGTTGGAGATGATCATGGCAGGGAGAGGACCTCTGCGGTTGGCTGGCACAAGCCGAAGGAAAGGTCCAAGATCTGGAGCCAGATCCTCCGGCGACAGGGCTTCGTGGTCGTAATGCTACCTCTTACCGTGTGCCGAGCAAGGGATGCTTCACGGGTGGACCGCAATCCTCTAGCCCGGGACCAGATTCTGATACATCACTCTGAAGACCACCAGTCATGAACATGAGGTTTTGCCAGTTGGCAGCTGAAAAGATAAGGTGAGGTTGCAAGAGGCACGTGCTTGCTTTTGGGTACTGCGAGCTTATGTAGTACTTGCATTAGTCCACCACCTCTATATCTGAGGCTGATAACTGCTCCTATGGTGTATTGTAGGGTACGGATAGAAGTATACACTGTAAAATGCACATGCCTACCCCAGACCGCGGGTAGGCATGGCAGCTGGGTATCCTATTGCACGCACTGAACCGTGCCATTTTTTGTCGTTTTTAGAAGTAATAGTGACAGGCATTTCATACGAAATTCAGCTTATCATTCCCACCAGGATCCGATATCTGGATCACATTCTGGGATCATATTACGTACAGAGCGCTCACTCCCACACACACAAGTCCATGCATGTTTCACTCCTTGCAGCAATCGGCGGGGTCTATCAGTGTTGAATCAAGGAAAACCGAACCACAAACCGTGGAGGAACCATGGGCAGACGCTCAGACCAGGCTTTCTCACTCTCCTTTTGGCTCGTATGACTGCAGAGGACAAAGAAGGGTTAGGTGAATTTCATGCACTGGGGATGCCTGTCTCAGTTGTCTTGCGCTGTGTAAATCAAATAGTGCGCAGCGCCTCCTGCCGGGGGGTGTGGATCACTGGGACGCCCCGCCCACAGCTGGCCCCCGGCCCCTGCTGTCGGTCACTGTGGTTGGGCCCTCCACTGTTTCCAGCGCATGTCCACTCGCGGCACGGCGCCGGCGTGATCCAAATTCCACCACGACTCCTTGCGATTTGTTTTGTCGAAGCGCCAACTGACGAAATAGGAGCGGGGGGACTCTCGACCTGCTTCGGCCACTCAGCTGCTGCATCTAATGTGACTGAGAATATGTAAGGCGCTGCACGTCCTCAATCTGATGTCCTGCCTCTCAAGCTCCCTTGGCGAGCGTCTCTCATTCAGTCTACCATCCCAACGGTGGTGCTTGCCTACCTAAGTCCAGACGACATCTTCCTGGGCCACCAATTTTCATGGCGTCGTTTGTAACTCTCCCCAACGAGCTGCTGCTCGAGGTTGCTCGATCTGTCGACGATAGACCCGATTTGCACGCCCTCACCCTCGTCAGCAGACAATGCCACGGCTTTTTCGACCCGGTTCTGTGGCAGCGCGAGGCCTCCCTCAACCGACCTGGGCCAATACATTGGGCCATTGAAGAGGAAAACATCTCTCTCGTCAAGAAGGCTCTCGACCATGGTGCTGACCCAAACCAGCCTGCCTACTGCCGTTGGCCCAGAGCAGGGTTCATGAATACTCGCTGGTGGGACTATACACCCACAAGCGCTGAGGGTTCCTGGGCCGAGTTCGGTCGGGTATGCTGGCGCCCGCTTCACCTTGCCGTCACCAAAGGCAGAACCGATATGGTTGAGTTGCTTCTCCACCATGGGGCCGCGATAGATGAGTTGTCATGGCGTCTTTGCGACTGTGTGCCGCATCCATCACGTGCCTTGTTCCCTAACCTCACCACTACAACCGAGATTCAGGGCCAAGGCTTCCTCGACATAAAGGATGGTGGGTGGACCCCCCTTCACTTAGCCATATGCCATCAAGATGTCGAGATGGCGAAGCTGCTCCTTCGCCGTGGGGCATCGACAGACACTCACCGGGATCTGCGATGGAATCACAATGCCTCTGGTGAACCATCTCCAAGAGGCAATGTCACAGCCATGCACGACGCTGCGCGTTACGGTCTTTTGGATCTCATGGCCTTTCTGGTTGAGGGAGGCTACCAGTCTGTCGATACTTATTCACACCTGGTCGGAAAGCCAATTCACCTAGCCATCTGGAACGGGCACTTCGACACGGCTGTGCCGTGGCTAATGGCACAAGGCGCCAACTTAGACGAGGCTTGTCGAGTGATAGGCACGACTCCACTTCTTGCCATGTGCAAAGAACAACAGTTTGACAGCATTGTTAGACTCATTGAACTAGGAGCTGATGTCTCTTCTCGTGTCGAGGACCACGCCGATTTCACAGCGCTGCACTGGCTGGCATACCCAGCCCCAGATGACCATTGGCATTTAGGTGCCGGGCAAACTGCCACTGCATCAGAGGTTGTCAGGCTTCTTGTTTCCAATGGCCTTGATGTTGATACGCCAGAGAGAGCCAATGGGCTCTCGGCACTCATCGTTGCAAGCGGCTATTGCAACATTGACATGATGCGTACCCTGCTCGAGTGTGGTGCTGACCCTAATTATCGGGATCTCGGTGGCTCAACCGCGTTCAGCAAGATTGGCATGCAAGCTGACTTGCCAACACCTCGTATCTATGAAGCAGGTCGAATGCTGAGTGACTGGGGTTTGGATCTTCAAGGGCCTTTCGGTGAGAATCAAACAACCCCGCTTAACACGGTGTGCCTAGCTCGCGCACGATCATCTGTGAACAGTCCATTCCGCGATAGACAGTTTCTGAATCTCGCAAGGCTTCTGCTGACTAGGGGGGCGGATCCGAACGAAACAGGACGATTAAACTCTGCCCCAGTCTCACAGGCCATCTACAGCTGCGCGTTCGATATAGCATCTCTCCTTCTTGAGAATGGCGGCCGGCCACAAGTGAATGACCTCGAAATCCTCTTGAAGCAAATGGTACTTAAACCGACTAATCAATCTGGTCTTGTTTCATACGTCCTTGGGCTCGACTATCAGAAATATGGTATCCTGCGACCTTCGAACATGTTTTTAGACGACTTAATAAAGAGGTCATTCATCCAAGGTGCTTGGGAAGTCACAACAGAGCTCGTGGAGCACCACAGAAGCTCGGCATTGCCGGCCAATGCCCTCCACCGCGTTCTGGACCGCTCTACCCCAGAATCCAACACGGCAAGCAACCTCACATTGCCATTGGTTCGAGCGCTGCTTAAGAATGGCGCCGACCCCAACGCCACTTGGAAGGGCGAGCCTGCTTTATACTACGCAGAACGAGCTGCCGGCTTCGAAGCGTATACCAGAGAACTCATTGCAGCTGGGGTTGATCTGGATATGACCACACCAAAAATGCCAGAAGGAGCGTTGCTTTTCCTTTTCAGGAATGGTCGCCACTGCACTCTGAAGCATATTATCGAGCATGATGACAAGATACTCCATAATCGGCCCAAGGAATTTCACTCCAAGTGCTGGGAATATCTTCTCCGGCCCGGGGCCAACAGGGACATAATCGAGAATTCCCAACACTTTGCGGCTGGCGAACATGAGGGCACAAATTTTGACAGCCCAACGGGTGAAATTGACCTCGAAGAGGAAGAGTACGATATCACCCCCATTTCCTGGCAGCCAATCTACGAGTACATCAAACGTGGACTTAGAACAGATGTTGATCTTGAGCGTGGGGGCACGCTGCGGAACGAAATGCGAAGAGTTGCGTCGAGTTGTCCTGTGCCGGACTATGATGTGAGAAGACAGATTATTGAACATATGGGCTTTTCTCTGGAAGACCTAGGCCTGAAAGATGAAATAATCGAATACGAAAGATATAAGAAACATGTTAGTATAGAGGATGGACTACTGTTCTTTTAGAGGGTTACGTTTCCTATCTTATGTCTGGCCTTGGGTACACAGGCGCGGTTAGCAGAAGCTACTCGTTAAAAAACATTGTGGGTGTGCATGATTTGAGCTGGCCGGCACACATATCACGGCGTATGACTACGACGATTTTCTTTCTCTCCCTCTTCTTTCTTTTTACCATTTCTCATGCCACGGCCACGGCCACCACTTTCTCTTGTGCGCCACCTTATTGCCTTATGCTCCTTTTTTTTTCATGCCCTTCGTCTCCGCAGGACTAACAGAACAGGCCGAATGTCTTTTGTTGCACACTTTCACTTGATTACACACTTGGGGCAGGAATGGATATCCATATACAAGCATATTACATGCATTTTCGTTTCTTGTGATAAATATATATTAGTAGCATCAGATATGCAGCCCCCCCGGGAGGGTATTTTAGCCAATAAACATGGATTAGTACTGTGTTGTTGCGCATCAGTTCACGTGAGGACATCGCGACTTTATACGAGCATGTCGTACGTCCGCCCAAGCTTGCATGCATGATGCGATGCTGCCTTGTGCGTGAGGAGGTTGCAACGGGGAGCTGGGGGTGCCATGTCTGGGCGTCCCGGACAAATGGACCTGCAGCAGATACTTCCCACCCTGATCCTGAGGCTAAAATCACGTCAATCTCGCTGAGGCCGTACATGGTCAACGGTCAAAGTTGGGGGAGGGGAAAGGGGGTTGGTCGCTGGAGAAGACTCGGATAGATTGGCCGAGATTGGGGTTGATAGATGACGAGAAGCCTGGGAAGCACGAGCAATGCCCTACACGGCATTCGAACATCGAGAATATCTCCGTTCGGAGGTTCGCCAGGTGGGCTAGGAGATGGGACGCGCGCACGGGACAAAGCGCCGCATCCGGTAGCTCTAGCCCACGATGGGTGGCCCAGGGGAAACTGGGCTGGCACAATCGAGCCAGGGCCAGGGGATGGATGGCCGGAGACGACGCTGTTTGGTGCCCGCATTGCTCCCAGGCACGTCTGAGGTGGGCGGAGGGATGCTCTGGATTGCTCACTTGACTCTGGCCGCTACCCCACTTTCCACTTTTCCTGCTCTGGAATGGGGCCCATCATCTTGCAGACCAAACACCGAACACCGAACTATGTCCCCCTCGCACCTCACGGGTGACCTCTACCTCTAGCTACCTCCGTCGCCTTGGAGCCGTTCTCCATTCCGAAACGTAAGGGAGAGCCTCTGCGGGCCAATTGCAGCCTCGCTCTCGGCTTCTCTGACACCCCGCAACACGGCGGACGGTTTCCCTGCCGGCCCATCTGGCGCTGCGACCAACCGCGAGATGCCGAGTGCTGAGCGAAGATGCGTTACGGATCGCGTGGGGCAGGCCAGGCAGAGCAGTCCCGAGTGAGGGGTTTCTGGATCTCAATGAGCTGATATTGGTGAGATGGATGGACACGTACGGTGAGATGGGATCTTGCCGAAGGGGGCGCGAGCGTGCGCCGTTACTGGGCGAACTGCCTGGCTCATCAAGGTGGCACCGTGAGGAGGCATGAGGGGTTAGATGGCGTAGCGAAAACCATAAATACGAAGCTCTTGCCCATGTTCGAGGTTGGAGTTCTCTTCTTCCCTCATCATACACATCTGCCCTTCAGTCCTCTGCTTCACTCTCGTACTACACAACATCTTCAAAAGTTTGCTTCAAACACACACATCTTCAAAATGGTAAGCTACTGCTCTCCTCTTCCTTCTATGTCTTCACGATGCTCCCACTGAGCAACAAGCTCCCTTCTCCAAACGCAGATGGGAGAGCTTGATAGCTCGTAGCATCTGTAGTGGGCGGCGATGCAGACCTCCCCCAGGTTTCCCCATCATCAAATCGAGCTAACAGTCGGCTTCTAGGTCAAGGTTCTTGCAGTTCTCTACGACGGCGGTCAGCACGCCAAGGATGTACGTCGACTCTTTCGTATCATCAATGTCTCACTTCTCCTCTCTCCTACACGTCAGCTTGCTATCATAGCTACCCAACATGCCCTGCACCTAGCCCGATCTGTGAGCTTGGAGATCCCGAATTGGGCCACTCGCCGCAGGCCACATTGGGCAAGACGGAGTGATCGTCGATGGCGCCAGTGGCTCAGCCAATGCAGGGCTACAAGAACGCGGGGATGAAACGCGGGGCAGCGGGGATCGGATCAAGTCCCGCCACCCACGTCCTTCGGCTCACTCTCCACTCCCAGCACTACAGTCCATCGCGAGATGAAGGCGCATGCAGCTAACCATTGTTTATTAGCAACCCGAGCTTCTCGGCACCACTGAGAACGAGCTGGGCATCCGCAAGTGGCTCGAGGACCAGGGCCACACCCTGGTCACCACCTCCGACAAGGAGGGCGAGAACTCCAAGTTCGATCAGGAGCTCGTCGATGCTGAGATCATCATCACCACTCCGTATGTGCGCCTCTAATCATAGAAAAAGTAAAACAATCCCGACTGACACTGGTTCCCAACAGCTTCCACCCCGGCTACCTGACCGCCGAGCGTCTGGCCAAGGCCAAGAACCTCAAGCTCGCCGTCACTGCCGGTATCGGCTCCGACCATGTCGACCTCAACGCCGCCAACACCACCAACGGCGGCATCACCGTCGCCGAGGTCACCGGCTCCAACGTCGTCTCCGTCGCCGAGCACGTCCTCATGACCATCCTCGTCCTCATCCGCAACTTCGTCCCCGCCCACGAGCAGATTGAGCGCGGCGAGTGGGACGTCGCCGCCGCCGCCAAGCAGGAGTACGACCTCGAGGGCAAGGTCGTCGGCACCGTCGCCGTCGGCCGCATCGGCGAGCGCGTCCTCCGCCGCCTCAAGCCCTTCGACTGCAAGGAGCTCCTCTACTACGACTACCAGCCCCTGTCCGCCGAGGTCGAGAAGGAGATTGGCGCCCGCCGCGTCGACACCCTCGAGGAGCTCGTCTCCCAGTGCGACATTGTCACCATCAACTGCCCTCTCCACGAGAAGACCAAGGGTCTCTTCAACAAGGAGCTCATCAGCAAGATGAAGAAGGGTGAGTCCCCCCTATTCCACATATTATAAGATACCAAAACTAACCACCCACTAGGTTCCTACCTCGTCAACACCGCCCGCGGCGCCATCGTCGTCAAGGAGGACGTCGCCGAGGCCCTCAAGTCCGGCCACCTCGCCGGCTACGGCGGCGACGTCTGGTTCCCCCAGCCCGCCCCCAAGGACCACCCCCTGCGCTACGCCAAGAACCCCTGGGGCGGCGGCAACGCCATGGTCCCCCACATCTCCGGCACCTCCCTCGACGCCCAGAAGCGCTACGCCGAGGGCACCAAGGCCATCATCACCAGCTACCTCTCCGGCAAGCACGACTACCGCCCCCAGGACCTCATCGTCCACGGCGGCTCCTACGCCACCAAGGCCTACGGCCAGAGGAAGTAGATCCAGAGCAGCAGCAGCTGAAGCGTTTTACTGGAGGAAGAAAGACATTCTCCCAAGGGCAGAAAATATTGGGATGTATGGGCATATTGACGAAGCAATGATATTATTATGTAACTTTACTCGAGCATCTCCCGGGCTTCTTTCGGGACTTCTATCCTTTTTTTTTTATTCGCTAGCTAGTTTCCCTAAAGACTGAATAGAGAACTTTGATAGCGCTTGACCGGTCTTTTTCAATATTTCTGGCGGTGATGGGTAGTACGAGAGTGAAGCAGAGGTCTAAATGGCAGATGTGTATCACAAAATTCTCCGGCCTCCTACCTACCTTGTTCATCCATCTCCGTTCAGTCGCAGCAGTGTAAAATTAAGCTTATCAATGCACCGAATACGTAGAAAATAGAACCACGCGGTGGCAAAAAGATGTAGATTGATAATCGCTTTCGAAAAGTCGTTTTCTTTCATGTCATATTACAATGCGAACAAAAATATACTTTCCAAACCCGCACATCTAAATGGGTTGGCAGCCCATACAAAAATAAACAATAACAGCCCGCTTTGTCCAAATGCGCAAGTGTATGTGCTCTTCGCTTTCTAATCTTTTTTTAACACTCATTTTTGCCAAAACTTCCACCAAGGTTTACTGCTAATGTCCCCGAACCGCTTCGCAGACACCTTTCTCCGCCTAACAAAGAGGAAGAAGACTGGAATTCCGACGAGGACGAATGCGATGACGATGACTGTCTGGAGAGGCTGGGCGAAGATCGCCCTGCTCAGCAGGAAAAGACTGACGCAGCAGAAGACCACGGGCGTGACGATCCACGTCTTGTATGGGCGCTCCAGGTTCGGCTCCTTGACGCGCAAAACAATGACGCCGAGCACGGTCATGAAGTAAAATGTGTATCCTGCTACTCCGTAGAATGTAACCAGGGTGCCAAACTCGCCAACCACGCAGTAGGCAAGAGTGAGAACCAGGTTGAGGATCAGAGCGAAGATGGGAGTGTAGAACAAGCCCATCTCTCCATCAGCAAAGCACGAGCGTGCCTTCTTGGAAAACCAGCTCTGGCTGTACTGTCTGCTCACTCGCAACTCTTCGCTCGCTGCACCCACGCCAAGGCGCCCGAAGATCCCAGGAATATAACCTTCCTTGCCCGCGACGTAGATCAAGCGGCTGGAAGTGAATGTCGATGAGTTGAGCGCCCCGAAACAGCTGGCACTGACAACAAGTGCAAGCACAAGGGCACCGATTGGGCCGAACACCTTGTGTCCAAACGCCACTGCAACGGTGTTTGAACTGTTGATGTCCTCGATGGGTAGCACCAGGAAATACACCACGTTACCAGCAACATACGACAGGATGACCAGCGGCATTGCGGTATGAATGACTCGAGGTAAATCACGACTGGGGTTGATGAACTCGCCAACAACATAGCTTGTCTGTCTAGAGTTAGTTTGCGCGGTCAACGTCAACGATCAAAGACACTCACGTTATCCCAGCCATCGTATGCCCACAAGCCAGCATAGAGTGCAACCGCCCAAGCAGACAAATCGTCCGATGTATCCGTAAACCAATCGGATTTCCACTCCTTGTTCGGTGACCCGTCGTAGGAAAACCCTGTTATGGCGACAACAATTCCGGTAATGGTGACACCTATTAATGCGACGAATTTCAATAGCATAAGTATATCGTTTGCCTTGGTTCCCATCTTGGTCGAAATGCAATTCATTATTGTGACGATGACCACGCCGCCCATAGCAATGCCCTTGCTTACCCAGGGGCTGAGTTCCTCCGCATTGGTTGGAGCGAAGGCCCGCACAAGATACTCGCCCATGATAATGGCGATGATGGCGGCACTTCCTGGCTTTAACACAAGAACAGCGACCCAGGTGAAGAGGAACCCAGACAGCTCGCCAAAGATTTTGGCGAGATAGACCTGAGGTCCGCCATTCAGAGGGATAGAGCCGCCGAGTTCTGCGTACGAGGATGCTCCCGTCCACACCAGGAGTCCGGCAACGACCCAAACAATCAGCGCGGCTCCTGGCGATCCAACATTCGAGTTCACCTGACTGGGCGAGGAGAATATCCCGGAACCAATCACCAACCCGATGATAAGCGATAACCCGTTGAAGTACGTTAACGTCTTATTCCGCTCCAGTAATCCTCCACCCGCGCCAGCGTTCGGTCGCGCGGTCGATGCCGAGTTTCCTAAGGGCGCATATCCGTCGGCGCCCGTCGTCGAGCTAAGGGGGAAAAGATTTGCGGCAAAATCGAAGCCCGAAGAAACTGAATAGGATCGGTGCATTCGCCCCCTGCCCGCAGGGTTTCCTTCGTCGAGGGGGTCCTCCTCGTCGATGAGGGAGAGTCTCCGCGAAGAGGATATGCTCGGTCGGGAGGATGGGTTCGACACTTCATCATCGTTCAAGTGGCTCGAGCTCGCGAGAGAGGCTAGCTCCAGGGAGTCTCGATGTCCGCCGCCGCCGCCACCACTTGGTACTCCTAAAGGGGCCATCTAGAATGCGATTTCGTTTGGGGGCACGCTGGGAAATTCCCCGTTCACCACTCTTCCTGTTCCGTGTGGTTCGTCCTCCGTCTATTCGATTTAGATACAGCTCATCCCGTGAGTGTCGAGTGGTTGGGAGTCGGAAATATTAGAGAGCCTCGCGTGACGTAGGAGAGAGCTCAGACAGAGGCGGCGGGTAGTACCGAGAAATTTCGTTGCGCCGGTTGGTAGGTCCGATAAGATGTTGGAGAAGAAGAAAATGCTGAATATGCAATTACTAAAAGTCGCGGGCACAAACGACCCTATGATGTCTATGCACAGCGTAATCCCAGGCCGTTTTTTGTGCAGAAAAGAAGGGGGAAAGTAAGTGGTTGAGTATTATGACAGGCGGATTCGCTTCCCCATCAATTGAAGCCAGGTAGGTATCTTGCAGCTAATTCGACAGGCACTTGCGATCCCTGACTGCAGAGATTATGTAATACGACCATTGGGTGGCAGCTGCGAGCGCAAAGTCCCCATAAGCATGTGCAGGGTAGGATGGGTTTATATTTAGACCGCGACGCTCGCTGCAGATAAGCTCGTTGCCGCCAGTTTCTATTTGCAGGCCTGCACCCAACAGCCGATCGCAGGATGCCTTCTGACGACTACGCTGCCGCGGGTGGTGGTGGCGCCCTGCGCATCAAGGGCGCCAAGGTGACAAAGAAAAAGAAGAAGAATAAGAACAAGACCGACTTGGAGAAGAACCTCTCCGCGGGAGAGGGCAAGGTCGCTAAAGGTGCTAGGGAAGGACCCGCCCCAGCGGAAGACGTGGAGGAGGATGAGGCCCCCAACGTGACCAAGACCGAGGCAGAGTTGCGCTATGATGAGTTCAAGAAGAAACGGGTATGTCATATTCCCACAGTCCATGGAAACCGCGATGGACAAGTATCTAACCCAAGTCACAGCTCCTCAAACTGGCAGAGTCCAACACCCGACCCGAACTCCTCAAGACGCACAAAGAAAGGGTCGAAGACCTGAATACGTATCTTTCCAAACTCAGCGAGCACCACGATATGCCCAAGATCGGACCGGGTTAAAACATCATTATACGGCAGAAACGTTTCTTTGCATTTTCCGAATGGTCTGGGCTATGTGAGTATCTAGCTGTAGGAATTTGACTTGGTACATATTCAAGTGACAGAATGAGTCTAGATACACGTGAAGCTTGTAGCCCATCCCCAAATAAATTCAAACATATCACTTTACAAACTAGGTAAATGGTCAGCAACAGTTATGCGCGTGTGAAAAGTGAAGAACAAAAGCGAACACAAGTGATGAGTACTCCTCGCCATGAGTCCGTCGAATTTGCCAGATGCTCGTAAAGGAAGGCAAATATCGCGAGAATGGGCCAGAGTCAGAGACCTCAGATATGGTCGAAATGTTGGCGTGAATGTAATCCTAGGTATTAGCATACATCGATATCAAATGCAACATCATCACCTCGCACGGTAAACGATATTAGTTTAAAGTCATATCATGTTCTGCCCATCAGCGAGCTCTTACTAATTTCGGTTCAATCACTCTTCAACTTGTGATCGCTGCGTGTTGTAATTGTAATGTAACTATCATGTAAATCATTTCCAATGTGAATTATGGACCTGTGTGAGTATATTACCCTCCTTCTTGTATATCCCAATTCCAATCCAGTAATGAGGCTGGCTTTGCGCCAGACATATGCAACCATTCTAAATACCCGTTTTTTAACATAACTCATAAAAGATTAATGCCATCGCTTTGCCCCTATCCAATGTTGCTGCGAGCCGTTTGTACACTCTGCTATCGATGTCGCTTATACCAATAAGAAACCGGCAAAGAAGGCGGTGGTCAGAGACATGGCGATGCTGAGATGAACCCGGCCAGCGATGCCTTGCAGGTCGGGGTTGTTGTCAGAGTTGGGAGTGCCGGATGCCGGGACAACTTCGACCCAGGACGTAGAGGTCACGACGGTGACGCCTCCACTCGCCAAAGTGCGGGTGAATGTCTGGGGAACTGGGCTCGAGCTGACTGAGCGTGAAGAGCTGCTGGATGTGGTAGATCTCTCCTCTGATGTGGTGGTAGAACTGGAAGCAGCTGCATCTCTGTTAGCATTGACATGAACAAATCAAACGCCAAGGTAAGGGCAAGAAGTGTGGAATGTGTGTTCAGTAGGTAATGACTCGCATGTGAGACATTGGGGGTAGGTGGAGCAAGGAGGAGATGGAGGGGGAAAGGGCATTAACGACACTGGTTTGTGATCACGATCCTAATTGCATTGCTAACAAGGGTCATGTCAAACATACCAGTAGTTTTCAATGCTGTCGATGAACCCGTTTGGGACGAGGTTCCAGAGGTAGTAGTGAACGGGGAAGAAGAAGAGGAGGTTTCAACGGCCTTTGACGTACTTGTTGCAGTAGACGAAGTTGCCGGAGCAGTAGTGAGGGAAGAAGATGGGAGGGAAGAAGATCCCCTCGCGGTAGTTGACGTACC